CATATCCATGATGAGTTGAAGAATTTTTTAGGACCATTTGCCCCTGTTTGGTTGACTTTTGGGTTGACTTTTGTTGCATTTCATTTGACCCTCGACAATCCTCATTCACAATGGAACACCCTTGTGAATCAATATCTTTGGTGGTGTTGTGAATTGATTTTGATTGGGATCTCTTGGCTTCTGTTTGCCAACATGTTTATGGATCTATTGCATTTTATTTGGTTATTTTTGAATCATTTTCCTAATTTTGAGGTAACTTGCAAGTTAAGTTACCCCAAAGGGAGGTTCATACATACACATTGACCTAGTTTGCCTTGGATATGACTTTGATGGATCCTTCGAGCCTTTGATTCCTTTTGATTCATGTTACTAACATATTAAGGTTGCTGGTTGCTCAATTTTAGGTCATGATATTGTGTTATGCTTGTTCATTTGTGTACTTCTTTTGTTGCTCCCATTTAGGGTTTCCATTTGTGACATGCTTGCTTCCTTTTGTGTATGAGCTTGCTTTTCTCTTGTGATGTGATTGCTTTTTCTTTTGAGCTCTCTTTTCTCATATCCCATTCTGTCCCATGACCTTGGAGTATCATTTAAGGTGGCTTAGTCCCTCCTTAGGAGGTACTTGAAGCATACCTAAAATGATGAATCCTTGAGGACTCCTTTGTGCTTCTTTTGCACTTTGTTTGTGATGCTTATGGTTGAGTGAATATTATGAGTTCCTTGCTGTCCTCATATAGCCTCCCATCCTCACTTTTGTTTTGAGCTTCTTTTCATTTCATTTAGTTTGGCTTTTGGCACTTGTGGTTGATGTTGTTTGACTTAGGTCATTTCATCCCACTTTTGGTGCATCTTTGTGTGGATTTTCTTTGGTGTTTGATTTCATCTTGTGCATTTATTTCTCTATTATTTTCTTGCATCCTCATATGCATGCTTGAGGTTGATATGAACTTGTGGAGGCTACTGCCCCACACATATTTCCTCCCTCACTTTCATCTTACTTGTGCATTCTATGTTTGCATTCTTGCATTTTTATGTTCTTTCTTCTTCTTCTTCTTCTTCTTTTGTTTTCTTTCCCTTAAGATCTCTAATCTCTCTTCTTCAAGAGAGGTTATGATAGACATTAGGTGCTTAACCATGCATGATATCATTAGGTAGTTCCCTTTTGTATCCCAACTTTAAGTCCACTTTGAATGATAACTTTTAGGATTGATTAGTCTCCCATTAGTGGTCCTTTCTTCTCTTCTCATCTTCATACAATTTTAACATACTTAATAAAGATAATGGATGTTGTGTCATGAGCCTTGTACTTGGGAAATGGTGATTGAGCAGTTACCTCTCAATTTACTAGAGTGTTTAGTATACGTCCTTAGGATGATATGCGACGCATTCAATCCTAGGTTTTAGACTTTAGTACAACATACCTTATAAACACTCAAATTCAAAACACTTCTTCTCTAAAAAACACAAAAAACACTTCAAATCTTTTTTCACCCTTTGGGGTTCTTAATCAGGAAAATCTTTTCAGATAAAAGAGTGTTGTTAACCTTTAGTTCTACTGCAAATAGTAACGCCTAAGTCTCCAATGGTCGAGCTGCATACACCAACTGCTAGAACTACTTGTTAACCTTACTCGGGCCTAAAAACTTTTGAACCAACCTGTGGTATTTTTAGCCCGAACTACATTTGCTATGATCTTTCATACCAGATGAAAGTACGTAGACACAAGACGCGATGTCTTGTCGAGCAACCTCCCCCGTTTTCACCCGTAGTTAGCCGAACTACGTTGACTCTGACTTTCCCATTGCACGAGGGAATACGTAGGTGCAGAGCGGCAATGCTCTGCTGAGTCTCCTTTATTTTTCTTTTGTCCCTTGACCTTTAACTAGATAGATTGATCACCCTTTTAGATAGAAAACAATGCATAGATCCCGTCGAGTACGACAGACGTGAGGGGTGCTAATACCTTCCCCTTGCGTAACCAACTCCCGAATCCAGACTTGGTTGTGATGACATTGTCTTTCCCTTTTCGTCAGGTTTTTCTGATTGTTTCCTTTCCCTCTCTTTGGGTTAAATAACGAAAGGTGGCGATTCTTCCGTTTTCCGCCGGGTGTTTTTCGCATTTACGACACACATGTCACGCTCCGATTAGGCAAAAGTAGTCGAGATTTGAAAAACGCCCAATCGGGGGTGGACACGTGTCTAAACGGCGTGAAATTGATTAAAAAAATGAAAAAATGGAAAATGTGAAAATATATACAAAAGCTGGCGGACAAATTTAGGGTATGACAGATGCCCCTACCTAATCGGCTTAAACCTAGTAAGACGAAATGCCATGGCATTCGTTCTTTCGAGGTAGAAGATGATTAGATATAGAATACCCTAAATTTGTCCGAGAAGAAAATAAAATGATACGCCCCTGGCTGGGCTGAATTTGTTGTTGAAGTACTTTGAATCTCGTGAGAGAAACCCACAGTCTTGCAAGAGATGCCTCTGACCAGGCTGATGGTTACTTTGAAGCTCAAAAAGTTGCACAACTTCGTGGGGAACGCCCACGGTCTTGTGGAGAATGCCCCTGAATGGGCTGATTACGATCTTGGAAAACTTCGAGATTGATCCTGGACCTGAGCTTGCATATGTGAATGCTTGATGATAATGATGTTCCATAACAAATGGACATGCAAATGCAAATGCCAACACCACTACAAGAAAATTGGCAAATTGCGACGGTTCATTTTGACATATTACGACGGTTTTAACCGTCGCAATTTGTAAGTTACGACGGTTTCAACCCCGTCGCAGAAACGTGCGTCGCGAGGCCGTATTGCGACGGTTGTGAAAACTGTCGTACAAACCGTCGTTATTTTCACGACGGGTAGCTAACTATCGTAATCTCCATATTGTGACGGTTTTCAACCGTCGTAATTATATTTACTAATTCTAAATATTATTTATTTTCACGACGGGTAGCTAACTGTCGTAATCTCCATATTGTGACGGTTTTCAACCGTCGTAATTATATTTACTAATTCTAAATATTATTTATGCTAGTTGCGACAGTTTAAATCGTCGTAATTTTATCTATAGAATTTTTTTTTATAATATTCTATTTTTATTTAAATTGCTTTCATCTCATTTATTTTTATAATAGTTTTTTTAATTTAAACTATTATTGTTTTTTGGTAATATATCAAATATATAAAGACGCACGTATATCAAATATATAAAAACTCACATATAACAAATATATAAATTTATATAACTTAAAAAACAATTGATATTTCATTATATTACTTTTCTAAATAACTTATTATATTTTCTACTAAATATATACTTATGAATATTTAAATCATCAAATGTCTTAATTTATAACTTCATATATACAATATAATCAATATAATTTTACAACCTATGATGATCCAAGATATTCTGCCCAATTTTCCACACCAAGTGATAATCTAAGATTTTCTACCGATGGCTGAAGAATTCTTTGGTATGATTTTGCCTTAGAGGATAGACATGAACATCTACAAAAGCTTAAAAATTACTTCCAGTTAGCACCAATAAATAAAATCACTTGTGGTCTTCTAATATCATCATGAGCCCTTCATAATCAGTTTTGTAGTCTTCTAGTTGTTGCTAATCTTTTGGCTTCACCAACACGCTCTTCCAAACACATTATAATATAAAAGTGTTGTAAACTAATGACCGAGGGAAAGCATCTATGCAATGCTTGAAAGTTAAGCATGAACCAACCATTGAGGGGCACATCTGTAAAGGTTAAGCAAAGATTGTAGTGAATAGAGTCAAAACCATAACAGTGTCATTAGAAAACAGAACAAAAAGTAAACCATAAAGACTTCATGTCAGTCTTATAGGTAACTATAGAGAGCTTATTGAATAAAACTCTAATAGAACTTACTGAATAAAGAGCTTACTAATAAAACTCTAATAGATCCATTCAGTTTGATGAAAACCTTGATCTTATGCCTAAAGTTTTTTCTTTGTACAGAAAGATATAAGAGAAGAAACACTGCAAAAAGCAAATGATAACAATATGCTGAATCAATGATTTTTGGTCTTATAAAACCATCTAGTATACATCTAAATAACTTCAAACTAAAACATTAAAAATATACACTCTTTTGAACTTCTTCGTTGGATAGAAGATCCACAATGGGTTCATATACGTCCCACTCTTTTCTTTTCCTGATGCATTCAACCAAAACAACCAAAGCATATGAAGTTCTCATTTTGAACCAAAAATTGCACATAAGTTTGAACTAAACATATGAATAGCCTTGCTCTTGAATGTCGGCATAATTATTTGCATGATGATATAAATGTTCAAATGAAAATGATTGAATTTCAGAAAACAATAGTGCATAAATTTATGTCACTTACCGAACAACACTTGATTTAATACCAAATAATTTGACCAAGTCCACTGCTACGACACCTCCTTTACTGTCAAGAGATCATTGATGAGACAGTGACTAAATAATAGATTAGGGATACATATATATACTCTGAATTTATAATAAAAATGCATTATTTATGTCGACTGAACTAGGGTAGAAGAGTATGAAAAACCTGACTGGAGTAAAATCAGTCCCTCAACGACCCTTTTTGCTTAGTCTACTTTCTCTTGCTGAAACCACACTTTGAATTGCAATCTAAATATGAAAATGTATTAAAATTATGGTAAATGAGCCACGTATATATAAAATAATGCACGAACATAATAAACTAACTGATCAACAGAATGAATGACCTCATAAAGCTGTTCTCTAATGGCAAAGGCAACAGATGACTGCAAAACAATAATGTTTTGGTGTTTAGTATGCTTCACAATTACTAAAGAAGGTTTTTTCTGTTTACGTATTACAAATTAATTCATTACTAGCAATAGTTAAATATACTTACTCCAACCTCAGGATCCTCAATGCCCATGTCTCTGTAGAAGGTCCTTGCAAACTCTTCAGGATCACTATCGAAGTTGTTCAAGTCCTTGCAAACTCTTCAGGGTCATCAATCATAATGTATACAAGATCAAACCTTGAAAGTATAGCTGGTGGAAGAGCCACATTGTACTGAAACAATAAAACAGGGAAAAAAATAAAATTAGGCTGCGTTGTACTCAAAAAGTGATTAATAGCCAGGCTAGCAGAACATGTTACCTTCAGCGGCTTAGACTTATCGTACCGTCCTCCAGCAGGGTTGGCATCAGCAAGAATGGAAGTACGAGCATTGAGTGTTGCTTGTATTCCTGCTTTAGTGATACTAATAGTTTGTTGTTCCATACCCTCGTGAATTGCAACCTTTAATGGAATCAAATATGAGATACAACCCAATCTATAAATGTTTAAAGCCAGTCAAAATTGTATGCCTCATACCTGATCTCTTATGTCCATCTTGTCAAACTCATCAATGCAGCAAATACCATTGTCAGCAAGCATCAAAGCACCAACCTGAAAAATAGGTCTTACATTAGAAAACAAGACATGTTTCTTAATACCCACTCCTTTGGAAATTGTTTATAACTCAGAAAACTCCTCAAGTCATGTTTCATAAATAGTTTTAATGCTACGCTTATAGGGGTTTCTAGATGAAAAATTCTAATTACAACATGCAAATATTTCATAATATTCATTTATCAAATAACTAATTTCCAGCAAGTACTTTCAACCTAAACCAACTATAATCATATTATTGTACTTTGTCAAGTAATTGGGACAAACATTAGCATTAGTTTAATCTAATTTAAACTAGGATATGGTATGTGCCAATTTAAATTTGCCAAACCGAAGACACAACTCCAGTAACAGATGTTTGTGAATGGTATACATTTTCAATCTTTTTCCTAGGCTATTCTATCCAGCTGCTAATATTAAGAGTGAAGATATTTCAAAACTTCCAGTAAGTACAAGACAGATTATTGACCTCAATACAAAACTCTCCAGTTTCTGGTTCCTTGGCAACAGATGCAGTCAAACCAGCAACAGATGATGATTTACCAGATGGTGACATAATAATGCAGAGGTAATATTCAACTTATAGAAAATTGCAGATCATCTTCCTCTGAATCCTTCTTCCTATTCCTGATGTCTATTTCTCTTCTACCATCACAAATCTAGGACAAACCATTCAGAAAACATATCAATCACAGCTAAGATTACATCATAAAAATTTAACAAACCAATAATAAAACACAAATAGCCAACCTGAACAGAGTTGGCAATAAAAGCCAGACGATAGGAGAGGTCTCTGACTCCCAAAGCCCTAAGGCCCCTCACACCTTCATTTCAAGATGAAGAACCCTTGCATTGAGAAGCTTCCTTGCGGCATTCTGATCTCTCACCAGGGGATGCCAATGCCAATATATCCGGTATGACAATTACAGTGCCAGTAAAAATCACTCTGCGAGGAGACAGTTTATGGTTGGACTATTGAGTTGATAAAGTAAGAAAAGTTAAAATTTCAGTAAAATTTGAACATTTCAAGCAAATAAGTGGCTAGAAAAGGCTTACGTGTCACTGGCCCTTGCATGTTCCACAATCTCATGACGGAGAATAACATCCAATGACCTAGGCAAAGAGCCCGCGGGTATCTCTTTGGAAGTCTCCTGCATTCTGACTCTTTGCCAATCTATGGTTCATTCTAAATCTCCTCAACATTCATTCTTAGCATGGATGAAACTGATATAAGCAGTAACAAAATCTCCTCAATGACCTAGGCAATTATCTATGGTTCATTCTAAATCTCCTCAACATTCATTCTTAGCATGGATGAAACTGATATAAGCAGTAACAAAATCATAGACAAAATAGGAGATAAGCAATGCCATGGTGAAGAACATATTGAAAATATGCCTTATGAGGATGATATGGACACAATGCTTGTGAGTAACGATGATTAAACAAACGAACTTCGTATGAGACAGGATCAAAGAAAAAATGCCTCAACGTGTTCTATATTCTCAGTCTGCAAAACTAAAAGACCTAATATTGAATGGGAAAAGGAATTTACTTATGAAGAAGTTGAAGCAATCACAGGTGGATTTTCATTGAAGAACTGTCTTTTATGTGTGAACTTCTGTCACGGATGATGAAGTCCTCATAAGTCCATGATTTTGTCCCATAAATCCATGATCTCTCTCCCACTGAGAAATTTGGAACCACCTTCAATTCCATTAAGACATATTAAATGGCCATAACCATTGCAATGAATCACACCATGTAACAAATGACTTTGATTATCTAAAGCTTATTCGTTTAACGGTTTATGCCACACGCTGTCCATTGGAATTATAAAACGGTTTCTCTGCTCTGCAAACTTCTGAACAAAAAAACCGATGCTTCGTTGAAGCAACTTGCACCTAACGTCGAAATGAAGACGATAGTGGTGATTTCAATTTATCTCTAAGTTCAATTTATTTTGATCATTTCTTATCACACCACATGTCTATTTTATGTCATTGTCTAAAAACTACTTTATATCGATGGTTATTCATCATTCCATCTCTGATGCCAACAATTCAAGACCGGCTACTGGACAATATATCTATGGTTCTTTCTAAATCTCCTTATCTAGGGAGGCCTATGCAAAGCATCGGTAAAGGAACAATTATAAATCCTACAATTTTACTTGAGTAACTCCTTCAATAGGCTAACAACATGGATCCTGGTTTCATGCCGAGAATTTGAAGCCTGCCACTGAATGTCGAGGTAAGTAAATAAACCATCTTAATGTGCCTCCTTAAAGAGTACCTGAAAAGAGTTTGCATTTTATGTTTAGTGGCTCCTCAAAACAATTATGGTCGCCTGGGTGTTGAAAGTCACAAGGTGCTCTCAGGAATTGTGTTTTCTGTCAAATGATTCTAAAGGAGGGGATTTTAAGTTTTCTAGGCTGGAGCATATAAGAATTTCTGAGTAGGGACATTCAACTCAATCTTTGTCTCATTCATCAGTTAACTACACAACCATTTTGATGGTAAATGATCCCCTTCCTAAGAACTATCACTTTGCTCCTCTCAAATCCAATTATTCAAGTTTGAAGGTTGCTGAAGTTTTCATGAATTTGATAGTTAGGTTGCATGGTTTTCCCAAGAGTATTGTCTCTGACAGAGCCAAAGTCTTCACTGGTAAATTTGGCAACACTTGTTTAAATTAAGCAGCATGTCCTTAGCTATGAGCTCCTCCTATCAACCACAAACTGGTGGACAATCAAAGGTTTTCAATAAACGTTTAGTGTTGTGCGTGTGTTGTCTTACTGGAGGTAAACCCAAGGCATGGTAAGAGTAGTTGCTTGAGCAGAATTTTGGCAATAATACCTCTTGACACACAAACAATGAAATGACTCCTTCCAAAGTCGTGTCTTACTTATACATAATGAAAATGACATCTAGCAACAATTCAAAAGAACATTAAAACTTTTTTAGGGTTAACGTACCTATGCATAAAGGACTTTTGTGCCTCACTTTCCATATCTGCTATTTTATCCAGCAAGAACTTAGCTGTACCTTTCCCATCACCAAAATCCTTCTATGGAAATAAAATCTCATTAATCAAAATAAAAATGTGAAAATCAACCAAATATACGTCGATTTAGGGGAACCAATAATAACAATTTCATAAAGTGTAACCTTCCGTATCTGCTTCTTCCCACCAAATTCAATACAAAAATCTGACCCACTGTTCTTGAACCACTTTCCGTCTGATAGAACGACAAATGTTAATCCTTTAAATGTGTCATCATTGACCTCTATATCTAAGGAATGGACCTGAAAATTGTATTACTATCATCGGAATTTTTAAACTCGAATTTCAAAGGCCTAATAGGTTAACATACAACTTTGTATTGTTGTTGTAGAATTTTGTATTGTCACCGGAAACAAAATCGAGTCTGATACAAACTCAGGACAAAACCATTGAATTAACAACATACAAGGTTTCAAACCAGGATCCGATTCAAGGTTTGAAAATTAATTTAGGGTTTGAGAAAACAAACCTGTTAAGATTCAAATTGATGGTGATTGCTTTGTGTCGCTACCGTGAAAATAAGATGCCGGCAAAACAGAAGAGTCGCCACCTTTCATTATTTATCCCTCAGAACGGGAAAGGAAACGATCGGAAAAACCTGACGAAAAGGTATAAGACAAGGTCATTGCAACCATTGTCTGGGTTCGGGAGTCGGTTACGCAAGGGGAAGGTATTAGCACCCCTCACGTCCATCGTACTTGATGGGATCCGCGCTTGTTGTGTTCATCTGACGGGTTGGTTTTACTATCTACCTATCAAGGCTGGCTTAAAAAGAAAAGAAAATGACTCAGCAAAGCGTCGCACTTTATGCCTACGTATTCTCATCAGAGAATGAGAAATCAGAGTCAACGTAGTTTGACTAACTACGGGTTACGGGGAAGGTGGCTCGCCAATACATCAGTATTGTGCCTACGTACTCCCAACAGGTATGAGAGATCAGAGCTTACGTAGTTCGGGATGATACGAATTACGGGGATTCAGATTCATCTATTTTATCGAGTAAGGTTAACAAATAGTTCCAGCAGTTTGGCGTACGCAGCTCGATCCTTGGAGACTTAGGCGTTACCGTTTGCGGTAGAACTGGAAGTTAACGACACTCTTTTCTTCATAAAAGCTTTCCTTTGAATTACGGGCCCACGGGGCAAAAAGGTTTGAAGTTTGTTTTCTGTCTTTTACGGAAGAACTGTTTTTTATGGATGTTTGCAACCAATATCGCACTAGAGACTATGACCTGAGAGTGCATGCGTCGCATGTCACCCAAAGGGTGCCATACTAAGCATCCAGACTGTTGAAAAGAAACTCTCCAACAATCCTTTCTCAGATAGCTTAAGGCTCGTAACGTACGACGTCGGTTAACCTTTATTACTGTATTTTAATTTGTTTTGAGATGAGAAGAGAACAGGCTCAACTAAAGGGAGACTATCAAGTCCTAATGTCATCATGCCAAGGATTCATCCTATGGTTGAAGTTTGAAACGGGGAACTCCTAGAAGTTATCATGCATAGGTTTCAACCTAAATTTCTAATCATCACTTCCTTATCAAAGGAAGTGAGATTCCTAGGGGATCATGTCAATGATAAACAGAAACAGATAAAGCATCAGCTTAAACAGTAAACAGTAAACGACTGTAAAATACATGCAATGCAAGTGAGGGAGGAAATGTGTGTGAGGCATCAGCCTCCACAAGCTCATCTCAACCTCAAGCCAGATATGAATAATTGTAATCATACAGAGGAAATAACATGCTATCAAGCAAACACAAACCACATAGGCAAGGGAGCTGGGCTCTACCAAATACCAGCAAGCAAAGCCATACAATAAAAATACAAGCAGAGGGAGCAACTCAACCTCTAGTGCAATCATGCTCCTAGCTTAACTCAATCTAAACATGAACTTATTCTAATGCATCAAGCAAATCAAACAAGTCACTGCAATACAGTTGCACAGAAAGAAAACAAACAGGAAGAAAACAGATCAACAGCTTCCACAACTTCACAGCAAAGCAATCCTCTGACATCAGTTCAGTCCTCAGCCTTCAACAGCCCTTCAAGGCTACCATCTTCAATAGCAAGTGTCAACTTGCTTCTTCAAGCTTTCAATACCTCACACATAAGTATCAACTTATTCTTCCTCTTCAAGCCTCAGCTCCAAAGTAAGTTCCACCTTCAGGCTTCACTCCTAATATCAAGTGTCAACTTGGCTCTTTCAGGCTCTCAAGTTATCAAACACACAAGTATCAACTTGCTTCTTCCTCAAGCTTCAGCTTCTTCATTCCATCTCCAATGGATTCCTCTTACAAGTATCAACTTATTCTTCTCCTTCCTCAAGCTTCAGCTCCTTCAAGTACCACCTTGCTCTTCCTGATCTACAAGCTTCAGCTTCAATGCTAGTCTTCAAACAAAGGGAAGTATCAACCTCTAGCCTTCAATATTCTTCAAGCAAGGAACTCCATCCTCTAGCAAGGGAGAAAGATTCACCTAACAAGAGCAA